GATTAGGTATGACTAAATTAGATTAAAACAAGCTAATTAAAGAGTTAGGCTTAATTACCAAATTGCCATTGTTAGTGGGCCTCTTATTATAACATATTAGAGCCTTGTGCACACTTGAAACAAACATTTCCTCAGCCTTGTTTGATGCTCTAGCCGACCTTAGAGAGAGAGAGGAGCTAGAAGAGTTGAGTTCAACTTGTTTCATGGTGAATTGGCTAGAATTGCTTAAAGAATCGAAGGTTGATTACTAATTTGAGCTCCCTCGCTTCTAATTCTACACCTAAGGTAGATCATTCATCATCTTAATGGTGTCTTTGAGTTGTTCTTGCATGATTCATGCTTCATTGTAGAACTAAGTCATGAATTGGTTCATTGTTGTTGAATTAAAGCTTAGTGGTTGCATGCATGTATATATATTGAAGTTTTGAGGTTGTAGTTCATAATACCTCACATGCATGTCCATCTTTTGGTCATACTCCATGAGTTCATCTTGTTTTTGAAGGTTTGAGCTCTTTTGAAACAGCACTAAAGCTTTGAAGATGATTTAAGATCATGCATGTCACATTTGAGTTGTTGTTCTTGAAACTTGGTTTGAAATCATGTTTAATTGAACTACCTTTGGGCTTTGATTTCTCAAATTGATCTTTGAAACATGCTATACTATGAGTTTACAAATGTTTTCTGGAAATTTAGCCCAAGAGGTCGAGTTTTGATGCTTTTGAACTTGGTTTTGAGCTTGGAGGTGCAATCTGGGTTTTCCAGATTTCGCACTTCCGCTCGAGCGGGGGAAGTGCCGCTCGAGCGTGGAATTCGAGCTCCCAGCATCTTGCACCGTTTTACAGTCCGCTCGAGCGGAGTAATGTACGCTCGAGCGAAGACCTTTGTCAGTATGTCCGCTCGAGCGGGGAAACCCACGCTCGAGCGGGACCTATGATTTTCTGAAAATGTTTTCTGAGTGCATCTTTGCATCCTCATCCCATTCTAGGCGTTCTTAGGCCTAGTTTAAGACATCTTGTTGAGGATATAGATGTAGAACACGCCGAGACATTAGGGATTAAGTTGTTAATCTTTCCCAACTGTGTAGCTTAGTGTGTGTTCAATCTGTTAACTGTGTAGGGATGGCGACTGGGGAGACACGCTCTAGCTTACTATAGCCCAGAACTCTGCTTTGTCTGCATGTCCGCTCGAGCGTAGAAAGCCACGCTCGAGCGAGACCCCTATTTTCTGAAAATTTTGAAAAGTGTTTTAAAGTGCATCTTTGCATTCCCTTTCCATCCTAGGCATTCCTAGGCCATGTTTAAGGCATCTTAATAAGGATATTGATGTAGAACCACACCGAGTCAAGATAAGGACTAAGTTGTTGATTCCCGAGTGTGTAACTTAGTGTGTGTTCGTTCTGTAATTGTGTAGGATTGGCATCCGAGGACGCTCATTAGCCGCTTATAGCCCAGAGCTCTGTGAGTAACAATGTTGTAAAGATATAGTCAATTATGAATATTTTCTGAATGATCAACTGTTCTATTTACTGAAACGTTATTGTTTAATGAACGAATGTTTGTCCTATTTGTAAACTGTATACGTGGCATCCTTAGCAACTTACTGTTACTGTACTATCACAGAGATCTCTGTCGGTTCCCAAGTTTGGAACCACTACTGTTACTGTTATGATGGCCATCAACTGACTGTTCGGTCTGTTAAGACCTACTGTACTGTTTTGCTATTGGATGTACCACATATGACTGCTATGGTTTCTAAATGACTGATATGACTATTTAATTACTGAAAGGACATTCATTCTTAACCTCTTTACATAATTGTTATTCACTGGGCTTTAGCTCATTGTTTATATATATATGTAGGTGTCCAGGAACTGGACCGGAGCTAGGAGCGTCAGGTTAGCTCTCGTTTTGTCAAGCCAACCGTTGTGCCTCACTGCGAGGTTCCAAGTCATTTCAAGCCATGGTTGCTTTGGGGCGTTTTAGATTTCCCCTTTTGTCTTTGTTCTGTAATAAATGTTAAGACTTGCACTGTACTGTTATGTTAGGGATTTGGTCCCTAACCTGAGTGTTTGTACATATGGTGTATATATGTTTTGCTTATGAATGTGAATATGTTCGGAAAAGTCTTTTTGCATATAGACTATCACAGCTCATTGGACATCTCTTATTACTGTTTTGGCTTCCGTCAGCCTCTGTACTTTGTATTATTGTCTTGACTGTTAAGCAGGCCTTCGGTAATCACGGATTACTGGCCGGTTACGGTGCTAAACCCATAGGAGCGGGTTTGGGTCGTGACAAATCATCTCACTATATCTGTCTCTTTTCTTTGATCTTTAATTTTAATACTTTTTCTGTACTACACACTTCTATTTCGTTGTTATAATCGAGAAATTTTTTGAGTTTTGAACTAGTTATTTTCAAGTATTAATTGCAGGCGGTTAACTGTAAAATTTCACAATTTCAAATTTGTTTTTTTTTTTGTGTTGAAATGATTTATTCTTTATAACTGTAAAATTTTGTAGTTTCATAATTTTATTTAGAACTGTAAAATTTTACAGTTTTGTAACATTTTTTTCAGTTTGATTAATAAGAATAAATGCTTAATAGAATCATACTTTGAAATGTAACATTTTACTGTTTCAAAGTTTGTTTTTCAGTTTGATTAATATTGAAAATTATTTGCTTAAACCCTACAAAAATTGAAAATAACATTTTTTCCCCCACTGTTACTGTTTGTTGTTTTTAGTTTTTTTTCTTCTTTTAATTTATCAATATTTAGCACATTTTGCTATATTTTTTCACTTTAATTTCTCAGTTTATTATTATTCTTTTTTTGACAATATTCTGGACATTCCGATGAGTCTCCGGTGATATTCTTGATGTCCAGTGAACATTCTAGATATTTTGATGACTTTTGGTGACATTCAGAACATTCCGGTTATACTCTGGCGAATTTTCTGGTGATGTTTCAGTGATTTCCAGTGATATTGAACATTTCGCCGAGTTTCTGGCGATATTCTTGACGTCCAGTGAACATTCTAGACATTTCGACAACTTCTGATGACATTCAAAACATTCCGGTGAATTTCTAGTGATATTTCAGCAATTTCCAATGATATTGAGCATTTCGGTGAGTCTCCGATGACTGTTTGACGGAAGTTCGACGGTGATGGAATGTAACAGTGTCTTTAAATTTTTTTTTTTAAAAAATAGGATTTTTGGTAACAATTAAAAATATATAGAATTAATTGGTCCAAGTGTTTTGTTTTAGAATTAGATGTATTTTGAATTTTGCGTTTGAGACTTATCAGTAAGTTCCCTTTGTTTTAAATATTGGCTCATTCGACTTGGCCCATGAAGCAAGGCCTGGATCATCCCAACAAAAATGCTTAGCGTGTGCGTTGTGCGATTTGGATGGTTTGAGAGTAAAATTATAAGTTGAATGATGGATTAATAGTTTGGTAGATTGATAAATTGCGGTTTGAGCGATTTTCGACAGATTGAATATTATTTTAACAAATTATCAAACCTTTGCATAATATATTATACTAATTTGTATAATATTTTTCATATATATTATACTAATTTGTAATAAGTCTTACATCATACTTATTTTTACTTTAATATTTTATTATAGGTTAATACATATATATTAAAGCTATGTTTGGTTTTGACTTTTTGACTAAAAAAGCACAAAAGACAAAATTGGGTACATAAGTCAATAAAACAAAATATCACATTCAAATCATAATTATTACATTTTTTCACTCAAAAAAAAAAAAAAAACAAACGAAGCTAAAAAAGTCAAAAAAATCAAAAAATCAGACTATTTTAACTCTTTCCAAACGAAGACTAACTATATCGGAGCAGTTTCAAAAGTAAATTATAAATTTTAAACCATTATTAATAGTTAAAACAATACAAATTAATACAAATCAATACAAATTTAACAGATTAAACGATACGTTACGCAATTCTATAAGTGCCTATCAAAACCTATAAAGCAGTTTGAATACAATTTTCTCAAATAGACATGGCAGTACCATCTTTAAAATGTGAATCGTAAGGTGACATGCCAAAGCGTTAAATTGACTGGGGCAACAGGCTAAATTATCCCACCAGATCTATACTATATATTAAGTAAAATGGATTTTTTAACCCTAAGTCTTGTGGGAGTTTCAATCTTCCAATTTAAATTTCTTGATTTTTTGATTTAAAAAAAAAATGTTAGCATTTATTAACTCCTTCCAACTCCCAAGTCTTACCCTCATCATAACACTTTAATGCATTAAGAGTAAGTATAAAAAAAATTCTTTGAAATCCAACACATATAAATTCCTTGAAAAGTCTCAACACATATGATTAATATCCCTCATAATAATACTTTAATGCATTACGAACAAGCATAAAAAAAATTTCTTGAAAAGTCCAACACATATGATTATTATCAAAATATTAAACTTTAATATAATATAAAAAAAAGACATTTAATTCTTTGAAAAGTCCAACGCATATGATTATTATTAAAATATTAAACTTTAATTTAATATAAAAAAGGAAAAAAAGAAAACATTTAAAAAAAATATTTAAAAATTACAATTCACATATATAGATAATTGTAAACACAATCCGTGCATAGCACAGGTGATATGCTAGTTATTAGAATTATACAAAAACATAAGGGTGTAATTGCAAAAACCCAACAATAACAACACAAGCTATCGTTTTCCTGAAGACCGAAAATTCTCACATCATACTCCTTCGAATTCCAACTTGTTCCTTTTCTTTCTTACACTTTCCCGGCAAATCAACACCCAAACCTATTGATGCTCCATTAGCTACTCGTTTCACAAATTCAATTTTCAATTCGACGGTATTGTGATCACGGTGATCTCTCTAATCACCGATACAGCAACTGTAGCTGCAATGCAAGGCCTAGGATTCGCCAACTCCATTCTTCCTCGCCACTACCTCTCTATCTTCGATCATTCATCGGAATGACCTTCCTCCTCCTCCGTCGCCGCCCGAATCCTCCAAATCTCCACCGTGGGGGCTCCGCCAGTTAAATCGAATTACTTGAAAACCTCTCGTCGAACCCTCATTCGCAAAAGGAGGCGTACGTGGCGGAGGTCTTTGATCGGTGGCGGAGCCGATGACGGCGAAGACGATGGCTTCTTTGGCAACGGCAATGATGTTGGTGGTCCTTTCGGTGGCGGCGACGGCGGTGGTTGGAATTTCGATAGGTTTGGGTGGTCAAATTGGGACGAATCGTCCTCTTTTTTTGACCCTGCTTTTGATTTTGTATACGAGGTGATCAGTTGGATTGCGCTCTCTAATTGCTTGCACTTTGCGTTGAAAAAGGTTCTGAGAATTCTCGCAGATGGGATGGGCGATCAGGCGAGAGAGACTCCAGTCTGCTAATTTGGTAATGTTGTATCTCATTCCCCTAAAATAGCATTCGTTTATAAAATGATGGAAATTCAGGATTACAATTTGATGTAAATAATGTAAATTATAGCTATTTAAAGATTTCTATATATTATAATCTGTTACTTTAATTGGTTGGTTTGTATATACTTATACAATTTTACTAAATTGTTTCAAAAGAATTTATCTTTTTTGATTGATGGTTGTGGGTTTAGTCCACAATGTATTTTCTAGAGCTTTATAAAATTTCAGTTTAGTAATAGGAATTCTTGCTTTTGTGAATGGGATGACTTGGTGTACACTTGTATTGAGCTTTGCTGAGTTTTTTGCACAATAATTGTTAGCTCAAGAAGATGTTGAACTATGAAATTTAGAAATATCACTTCAATAGTATAGAGTGGTGAACTCAGGATCTTAGAGGAGTTACGAAGTTAAGTTTTGGAAGCTTTCAGGAATGAAAGCTAACTTCTTGGCAAAGATTGAGGACAACAACATTCAGTAGGGCTGGATTTTCTTCTTTGTAGGAGCTTGAACACTGTCTTCATCTTATTGAAATGGACTAACTTTTTTGTCAGTCCAAAAACGTGAGTTAGTGAACATTTGGGAAGATGTTTGATTTAGGTCTGCTTATGGAGCAAAATTTCTCATATTTTTGGTACCACCAGGAGAAGGAGAAACTGGATGAAGATTGTTTATTTTTGAGGGACTTACCAAAAGAGAGAAACAAAATTTGTAGCTTTGGAGGAGTGTTTCTCCTTTGAAATTTGATATTCACTACGAATAGTTATTTTCTGGGCATTGCCTCTCCTTGTTGAAGAGTGTAGATTTCTTCTGTCATGGAAAGTTTGTCTTACAAACAGCCATACTAGTAGTAAAGTTGTTGGCTACATATTTTGTATAAGCCAATTACAATTCAATGCGTGGCAGAATAAGGGTAATATGGGAAGACTATTCAAGTCTTCGATTGTGATCGTACACGTGGCAGTTAGTATTGGTTCTTACAAGATCTGCGTAGCACTGGATCAGCAAAGAGATGAAAGTGATGTGGCTTCAACAGTTACTCACATTCAAATTCAAAATTTGGAGAGAAGCCTAACTGCAGGTAATGGCATAGTGGAGGTAACTATAAGGCAACATGATCAGCAATCATGGAGGAGCGATTCGACGGTTAGAAGTGCAGTTTGATGGTCATCCTTGAGAAGTATAAATAGCAGAAAAAGCCCTAGACTCAGATCCAAAAAATCAGTTTTATCTACTTTATTTCCTTTCCAGTTTTACATTTCTTGTTCTTTGTATTTCTGTACTTTAAAATTCATGCACTGTACTTCGTTCATAGGAGTAGTTTCAAGTAAATCGTTACTGTAAACCTCTGCGAGGCTGAATTGGATCATTGTAAGTCTTTCGTTTTGCTTAATGAAATACTACAATTGTTCTTCATATTAACCATTGTCAGTTTATTCCTCCTAAGGAAAGCCACCAGTAAAAGTCCTCTTCATTGAGGCTGAAAGAACTAAAACACAATCGTCTGATAATTGGTTGGCAATTAAATTTCTGTAAGGACTGATTTATCCTTGTTGGCACGCTCACAATTACAAAAATAACCTTCAAAAGCCAAAAAAATCAACATATATTTTTGGCACGCCTAGTGGGACTAATTGAAATGGCTAGACGTAGGAGACAAGGAGAAAATGAACGCTTGGAAGAAGGTGTGGAAGGAGAGGTAGAAATACCTAATCCAGAGGATAATGTGATAACACATCCTGTGGAAACACCCATTTTATCAGAACCTATGGTCGAACAGACCAACAATTTGGAACAAGTACCACATGTTCATAATATTGGACGAGGCCAAGGAATTGGACCATCCACTGTTCCATCTACTCAGCCAATGAATCCATGGGGTGGTCTAGTAGATGCCATGGGACAACAGTTAATGAACACAATGGAAAGGTGGGCAACATCCTTTTTGGATCGAATGAATACCCACCAACTAACAAACACAAGACAGATGGAGGAAATTTCAAATATCCCTCAGCAAAGATTGACAAGAGATAAACAGCCTATGCAAATTAATGGACATTCTAATGATCAAACTAGTAATTAAAACTATGAAAGACCATCACCTCAGTCTTGGTATGAACCCATTTCGAGGCCTATAGCAGGTTAGAATGCCTCATTACTTAACAGTGAAGCCATGCAAATTGGTGGATCTGGCCTAGTACAAGAAAATGGCATAAGGATGTTTCCAAATCCCGTGTTCAAAGCCATGCCTGGTACGAGGGGGTTCACTAATCCTTTGTTCGAATTTATACCTGGCGGGTTGGAAGGTTTTCCTACGACTGGAAAAGACACAACACTTGTTCCAGTACCTTTTGCAGGTTCTTTTGCAGGACAGACTCAAAGAGGTCATCCATACCCTCAACAGCAGCCAGCACCACAGGGACAACCTGTCCCAAATATACCACCCTATGGACCAAGAGGACCCCAAGCACAAGGTTGTCCACTAAATCCTGTGTTTGTTTCTCCAGTAGTGGTTCAACAGGCAAAAAAAATAGTCCCTAGGGACCAAATTGCTGACATTGTTAAAGAAATGTGTTGACCAATGGCTCGGGGGGTTCAGACTCTTGTGTACAGAAAATCGTACCCAGAATGGGTAGACAGGGTACACGAATACCCATGAGGTTTCAGGATACCAGATTTTGCCCTTTTTTATGGAAATGGAAACCAGTCAACAGTTGAGCATATTGCTAGGTTCGCGGCTTAGTGCGGTGAATTTACCAATAATGACTATATGAAGTTAAGATTATTTCCAAATTCTCTAACTGAGGGAGCATTTGTATGGTATATTAACCTTACACCTGGCTCTATCTAAACTTGGCAACAAATGAAAGAGGCATTTCATGCCTAGTTCTTCCAAACAGAGCTAGAGGTTTCCATGGCATACTTGGCAATATTGAGTCAGAGGCCTGATGAGAAGGTTACTCAGTTTATTGCCAGATTTAAAAAGAGCACGAAATAAATGTAGGATCATCTTACCAGAGCCTGAATTTGTGAGATTGGCTCAAAATGGTCTAGAGTTTAGGCTTCGAAAGAAGTTTGACTCAACTGAGTTTAGAGACTGAGTGGAATTAACCTATAAGGTGTCTAGGTATGAAGCATTACTAGAAGAAGAACAAGATCGAAGTAATGCATCATACAAGACGCATTATAGAGATCCTAATTATGAGATTGATGCAGCAGTAGAGATTGTAGAGAAAGAACCTGTGATCCATGAGGCATTAATCCATAAAGACACAACAATTGACCAACAGTTTAAAAAGAAAGACCTTCATAGGAAATACTCTTTCGATTTAACAAAGGCAGATGACATTTTTGATCGTTTGCTTGCTGCAAATTTCCTGAAGTTGTCAAAAGGAGTCGAAATTCCATCTCTAGAGGAACTTAAAGGAAAAGTGTATTGTAAATGGCATAATTCTTGGTCTCACTCAACTAAAAATTGTATTATTTTTCGAGATAGGATCCAAGAGCAGATTCGAAAGGGGAGTTTAAAATTCCCAACTAAAGCAGAAAAGGCCATGAGAATTGATACTAATCCATTCCCAGAAATTGGAGAGGTGACAGCCAATGTTATCACGACAGACTTCCAGAACTTGTCCTTGAAAGAATTGGAAGAAGTCAATGTACAGATGCATGTTGCCAGCCAGACAACTGTCAAGAAAGACACTGGAAATCTACCAGCTATTGGACAAGGTTTCTCAGACCAGAGGGAAGGCTCAGTTAAAGAAGCATTGGATGACGATTCTTTAGAAGCAGCTGTCATGCAAAGAATGTGTCCCAGATACAGGTTGAGCTACAAGTGGTTGGAAGGGCTTCCAATTGATGGGAAACAATATTATAAAGATGTGCAGAGGTGTCCTAAACCAACCAGTGCTTCTAACAAAAGGCCATATCCAAATAGCATTAGGCAGCAGCCATTAATGGCTGAGCCAACAGTCGCTAGAATGCATTCTAAAGGCAAGAGGCCTTTATATGAGTCCAGGCTACCTAATTATTACAGAATGGAGAATAGTCATCCTGAAAGGAGACCGGAGAAGGGTTCGGTTTATAGGTTCAGAGCTAGAGATTGGCCTCTCAGACCAGCCTCACGCAGGACGGAAAGTGCCCACCTTCATCAAAGGCCTGAGTTAGGTCCAAAACAGGGAGTCAGGGCCAAACAGTGGCCTTCACAGCCAGCTTCGAAGATGGCTTTGAAGGAAGAAAGAAACAGTTCAACAGCTAGGTCAGTAGGTTCGTGGGTACCTGGAGTTCCAGATTGGTTTGTCATGCAGAACAAACCTAAGGAGATGTCTACCCAAAGAAATGTTGTTGGGAACCTAGGTAGGATGGTCAAACCTCCTCTAATAGCTCCAAACAATTGGGTATTGCTTAAGCATCCGAAAACCAAAGAACCAAATATGGCCCCAGTGATTTCTAGGTCCCAAAAAAGGAAGATCCAATGAAGGTACACTCAGTACCAGAAGGATCTGAAAGAAGGTGGAGAAAGTTCTTCATTGGTTCAGTTAAAGAGCCAGGCAGAAGGAGAAGAAGATTCAAAGTTAGATCATAATCTGAAATCAACTCTTCCAGACAAAAGGAGTTGTAGTAGGGAGCAGTTGGCCAAAGTTCATTTCAAACTAAAGGCAAAGGAAAGATCCTGCTTGATAGGATTGGAAAAATTTTTGATGGAAAATGATAGTGAGATAGAAGATGAAGTCATCCCAGGCCAAACGAGGGGATGGTTGAGGAAGAAATGTTTGAAGCCTTCATGGCTGAACAGACATTTTTAGTCGAAAAACCAATAGAAACAAACCATTCGATGGAAGTTACTAATACAGAAGAGCCAGAATGCAGCATGGAAGATGCTTCTGAAGTAATTAAACAAATTGACCAAGAGGAAAAGTAGGTACAACCAGTCGTCCAATTTGGCTCCTTCCCTCCGGTGTCAGTGAATATGGTGCTTATATTACCACAAGAGTTTCAAGCTGAAGATGAAAACCAAGGTCAGGAGGTTGACCCAATTCCACTCTCCAGTGAAGACTCACTAGTAAGTACGGTGCAAGACGAATCCGAAGTAGCCACACCAATGGAAACTGAAGACGAGAGTGAAGAAGAGGTAAGTATTAA